GGCGTGTGCCGTACAGCTACACTACAGCAGCAACACTAGTCAACTAAGATGGGAAATAAAAAACACATATTGCTAAAAATTCGCTGTCGTTGCCATCGCCCATCGCCCAACGTCCGATGTCCGCTGTCCGGCGTCCGACGTCGAAAATCCAATGTCAAAGGCAAACTGGCAGGTAGTCAGGTGCGTGTGCTCCCACTTATGAGTGGCTTTTAGTCTGGTCTAATACGCATCATTAGAACATTTAACAGGAAGCACGTGACGGCTCAAAATGTAGGCGGCACAGTTTTCGTGTTTTCCCAGCAAAGAAAAAAAAAGAAAAGGATTCCTCAGGTGAGCTTTTAAGTTGTGATTTTTCTGTACGTTGATGTAATTTTAGGGCACTGAAAAAGTGCTAGAAAGTGTTGGCTTTAAACGTGCGGAAAGGTAAATTATGCATTGATGAAGAATTCGTTTAGATAAATAAATAATAATTATATAATGTGTATGGGTATAATAGAAAATAAAACTCGTTTATTAGAAATCAATTATCATTAAGAAATGTAAAAACATTCTATATCTTCAATTATGTCAAATAACTCATTAAATTAAAATCAAGTTTGCTATAATTTGAAATACGCGCGCCAAACATTTCATAGTGCTGCCACTAATGCTAGCCGTGCTGCCACACTTTTTGCTGTATTATTTGCCATTCACAACAAGCTTTAACATGCGATAGCTAGCTATCGATAGCTAAGCGGCAGAATTCGAAAATTTTAAAGAAAATAAAAACAATGAATTTCTAAAAAGCATATAATTATACATGTTATACAATTTTCTTTTACTCCGTTATGCACTAAAAATGCGTGCTAAAAATTATACTCTCATATATGTAGATCATTGAATTTGAATGAATAAATAATCGTGAATGTTAAAAGCACACTTACCAGCTTACAGTTTACAAATCTATACTGCTCTCTTCTCTCACTTTAATTTGTTTTACTCTCACTCACGCTTTTAGCACTCACACAACACTAGCTGTGAAGTGCATTTCAATTTGCGTCTTGTCTATTTCGTGAGAAGAACAAGTAAAAATAAAATCAAGAGAAATATAATTTCTGTTCACAGGAGAGACAATAACTAAACCGATCAATAGCAGCAACGCACACATACTGAATGACTCCCATAGAACGAAGCTCAGGCTCAGCCTTCACGAGCACTGACAGCAAAGAGAGAAAGCGCTCTCATATTAATTTCTTGATTGTCTCTAAGAAACGGTAATAAAAGCCTTGCGACCAATCCAAGTAAAGAGAGCGGCCATTGGAATTGCCTTGTACTGCAGTAGCAGAGTCAACAGTGAAGGCAGAATTTATAGTCTATGCTCTCAACATCGACAGAATCCACAATATCCACAACATCCTCAACGTTCTCTTAAAATTGTTTTATTATATATTTTATTTTTATAAAGCTATTTAATTGTTAACATTTGTATTTAGTTGTCACAAGCAGAGTTTAATAATTAATTTAAAAAAGCTATTTGTGTGTTTGTATGTGTGTGTGTGTGTGTGTTTCGTTTCTTGTCTAATTGCCGTGTAAGAAGTGTTCGTTAAAAGTAGAAAATTTACATAAATTGAAAAATACTTTTAATGCCTCCAACGCACCATGCGATGTTTTTTCCACGCTCTTTTGTTTGTGCCTTTTGATTTTGGTATTTTGGTACGAATTTTGTACATTACATATTAGAGACTAAACTAAGTTAGATCGGTGACGGTTCTGTGTTGGAGCTCTTGTGAGGCCTTGCCATATGTATGGAAGCCTTGACAGATCCACTCACGATCCTTGCCAGTTTCTAATGCATTAAGTAGACAATGGCAGCGATTAGCCCGGTGACTAGCATCGAGGCACGTCCCACCGATGCAGCCGATCGACAGTAATACTCATCACAGTCGGCCTCCAAAATGGTCTTGTACTGGGCGAGTACGTCCGACCAGTTGCACAGGCCCACGTTGCACCAGTCCAGCTGAACGGCATTCTGATTGAGGAAGAAGACAACCTTCTCCTTCTCCAGCGAGGCGGGGCAATGGTACTTGACGCCCACAAAGTTGGCGGCAAAGGGACCCAGCTGGCTGGTCTTCCAGCGGCGACTGCCCATGGAATCGAAGTTATCCGCTCGCAGCTTGATGTCATCCTTGTTGATGCCCAGCGCCGTGAGCAGCGTCTGCAGGCCCGACGAGTGCGCGAAGTAGGCCACAACATGTGGCGAAACGGGACTGCTCAGACGAGCGACCATGTCCTGGACGGCACGGCAATTGAAGCGGGTGTTCTCCTCGAAGCCGTAGCCCGAGCCATAGTAGTACTTCAGGTCCTCGGCATATTCCAGCACGGTCACCTGCTCCGGCAGAAAGACGCCGCACCAGACGCTCGTGCGATCCACCCGCCAGGCCTGCTCATAGCGGCAGATATCGAACATCAATTTGATGTCATCCTCGGCTAGGAATGTGAAGCTGTGCACGTTAAGGAGGGACGGAGAGTTAGCAACGCATTGGGATTCGACTCAGGTCACTCTTCACTCACCCAAGTCGTTTCGTAATATCAGCCATGGTGCGATTCCAGATGGCGCTGGTACGAAATTTCTGATACTCGGAGCCCTCGCCCTTGTAGTTCTTGTCCTTGAAGTCCGAGCAGTAGTCATAGGGACGCAGCAGCAAATCCTTTTCGGGTATATCCGCAGCGGTGGCCACACTCGCATCTCCGAAGAGACCCTCGGCAAAGCCCTTGAAGCTCTCCGTGGTGCGCTGAGTGTCCGTGTGACGGAACTGGAGAGGGGGATGAAGAGAAAGAGGTTACAAATCGTATTTCTTTAGGGTCTATAAAAGTTTTTATAGAGACTTGGAAAACTAGCTCATCTAGAGTAACCCAGGGATAATACTTGAAGTCTCCATTTCTTATAGATCATATCATATATTTGAATTTATTCCTCATACTTACCAAATAGTAGCTATCATTGTATTTGCTGGGCAGCACTGTGGGATAGTAGCGCTGGTAGAGCTTGGCTGTGCCGCGCATATCCTCGTAGCCCTGGCTGGTCAAATGCTCCTCAATGTCAACCGTAATGCTCGCATTCCATTTCCACATCTGGATGGCAGTGAGATCGATGAGGCAGAGAGCATTCTCATCGGGCTTGGTGCGGAGCACGCGATAGTTTTTGATAATGGCATCGCGTAGCTGAAGGGAAGACAAACATCGTAAGAGATGAACTCAGTTGGGACTAGGACTGGGCACCTACCTCCTCTAGTCTAGGCGCCTCCCTGATGGTGCCTGGTGTGGGCAGACGTGTGCCGTGTCTGTGGTAGATCCACATCTTCTTCGGCTCACAGCCGGGCACCTGGTACTGCTTGTCCATGTTGGTGCCCTTGACGATCTGGTAGGCCGTCTTCGAGCTGAACTGGCGGGTCTGTGGCCGTTCCGTATCCTTGCCGAAGCAGTAGTCCTGCTGCTGCTGGGCATAGGCCAGGCAGGCCATCGTCAGGAGCAAAAGCAGACGCATGACTGCAATGAGAGTGGAAAGTGTGGCAATCGTTGGTGTAAAAATTTAAATGAAATTTAAGTGGGCCCAGCCCAGGATTTTGTCGAATATCCTTGAACTGTCGCCCAGATGTCATATGTGTGGACAGGGACAGCTGAACAACTGAACAGGTGTGTGTATGTGTCTGTGTGTGTGTGTAGAGGTGGAAGGCGGTCACTAGGTGTGGCATTTAAATTGCTTTGCTCTGCGCGTCTGCCAAGGAGTTGAGTTGAGTCAAGACAATAAAGGGCAGGGCCCCAATACGAATTTTTTTTGCTTTCTACCCATAAGAAAATGCTAGCACACACGCATACACACACACACACACACACACACACACACATACACCTGGAAATTAGGCTAATGATTTTGCGACTGACAAATTGCTGCAGTTTTGCCCGGCTTCAGCTAACCTTAGTCATCATAAAATCCCACTAACGCCTCCCCATTGATTGCTCCGATTCCTCCCGCCATGCGAGTTGTTTGTGCCATTAAAACAAGTTCATGTAATGTTTCAATTTGTAGCACAATATGTTTACGTAGAGCGTTACCCGCATCCAAATTGATTTACAATCGATGTGAATAACGCAGCACCCCAAGCGATACGCTCGAGCGGCGCCTGGATGGTCGCCTTCCTCGAGTCTGTCCTTAATGAATTGACAATATAAACTTGATTAAACCAATTTGTATACGATATTTGTTATTCAATTGCATAGGCTCTGCACAGCATAGTATCCCTCTGTGAACCCCTTTCTGGACACCTCCATTAAATCTTTGCTAATGCCTTGCCCCTCCCTACGCTTGCCACCCTCTAAAAACCGCTCTCTTAATGATGACACAATATCCACATAATTAATACAATTTTTATTTACTATTTTAATTAACTGCAGACGCTCTTTACATATAATTTGTTCAACTGTTCAACCTAGATATTGTAGTACTCTATAGTTTTTTTCCCTGACCTTTACGAACTTTTTAGTCCCCCCATACCTCTTTCACTATTCATTCTTAGTCCTCTTTCTGCATCTGTGCCAAAATCCACTTGCAGACTAATTACTAACCTGCTTCCTAGACTTCTCTCAGGCTACTCCCAAGATTCCTTCCACTATTTCTCCTTTTTCAACTTTTTTCCAACTTTTTTATACCATTTACAAGACCATTTCCTATATTCTTTCTTCTAGACCTACACTACTCAAGACTCCTTTCAAATTCTCAACCGACTTGGACCCTTTCAACACAAACTGTTTTACTTCTCTATATACAACTCGATAATTATCCTCCCCAGGCCTTTACCTGAATTTCTAGACTTCTCTTCTTTTCTTCCATGTACCTCTAGACATTTCCATACACTTCCAGCTAACCCCTCTCCATACACTTCTCTAAACATCTATTTAGCCCCATTCAACTGCAGTAGGCTTTGCTCCCTAGCTAACTGACAGCTCTAATTCAAACAGCTCTCATTCAAATTTGTTTTACGCACTTTCTATTCGCTCCAAAAAGTCTCGAAAATGTCTATCAAGCAATTGTTAGCTAAGCTCAAGCCCACCAAGGCTCAAAAGACAATGGTCGCAGTCTTGTAAGTAGCTATAGCTATCTCGCTCTATAGGTACTCACTACTATCTTCTGCCTGCCACGCCCACAGCATACCATCTGCAGCCACCTTTGGCATGGCTGCTGGACTGGCCATCATCTATTTTACCGACTGGCGTCTCATAACCAACTATATACCACTCTACAATACCAAATATCCCAAGGAGCCACCCAAATAGATACCCAGTAAATACCCTGTAAATGAAATTGCATTTAAGGTCGGCCTCTCAACAATTTATTTCTTGTGACTGCTTATTATAAAACCTCAATGTATACTGACTGCCGATTGAAGGTCTTTCGCATAGTTCAATAAACAGTTGAATTCTAAAATTATTCATGTACATATATACCCATACTTGTGTATCTTTGTGGGACTGTGGGGTATATGCATTTTGTATGCGTGTTGCCACAATGCAAAAGTAAATAAATTGCTGCCAATCAAAATAAACACACATCAAATCAAAACTGTGAAACAAAAACTATTAAATCGAGAAAGACAACAACAACTTTTTAGTTTTTAGTTTTAGAAACCAAAAATAGATCGATGAGAAGCGTCAGAAAGTGGATTATAAATCATGTGATACCCTCTTAAGAAGAATTTGAATTGTACTTTGAAATTCTATAAAATTTATTTGTTGATTAAATATTTAATTTTATTTTAATGTATTTTTAATTTATTGTTTTTGAAGCTAAACTTTGGGTTTTGCGTTCTAAGCGATAGCCTTTCAAATTCCCAAGAGATCTTTATCACAAGAGAGCTGTAGCACTCACACAACTTAATTCCCATGGCAGCTAAAAAATATATGTACTATATGGGGTCTGCCACGCCTCCTTCAGCCTGTAAGAGGGGAAACATCAGGGGAAAAATTGTCGACATAGAAGAGTAGAGAGAGAGTAATAACAGAGTGAAGATTGGTCGATAGTTTATTTAGGTCAAGCGACCTCAAGGACTACTCGAACTACAGGGTATGCAGGGCTGTCTTCCTTTCTTTATAATAATTATTTTCATCTTTTCCCTGCGTGAATTGTATAGACACTAAGGTCTACTTCTATATGTTACATACCGCAAATCCATTCTAAGCTATCCCGTGCTCACCTCCAATTACAGGGTATATATGGAGATGAGCGCACATCTGTGCTCATTGTTTACAACAACATCTTCGGCAGGCGCTGCCCTAATGCAATTGTGCAACATCTCGCGTCACATTCGTGACGTCAGACAGTAAATGGAGCAGGAGGCGGGAGTGGGGCACACTAAATGGAGCTGGGAGCTGGCGGATGGGAGATGGGAGGTAGGGCACAAGTAAAGTCGAACTAAGTGCTGTCAGTCGCAATTTTCCAATTTCAATTAGACGAACAACGCGAGGCCAAAACCAAAAACTATTTCCGAAGGCCAGCTGTGCAGATAGAAAATCGAGAAGATCGAATCGCCTTCGTATGGAAACTGAGATGCAAAGCAAAACAGCATTTGATACTCGTTCAGAATGTGATGCGGGTATATTGGTTACGTGTAATGTCAAGACACACATTAGAGACATTATGTTTGAGACTTTATATTTGGATCTTATACTCTCATCTTATAAAGTTCTAAGATTTTTGAGATACGCCCTTTAGGGGTGTGGCCAAAAAGGATATAGTTTAGCTGGTATATAGGTTTATATGTAGCTTATTACTGAGTATCCAAGAATATGAATATATATAGATATATCTACATCTGGGAGCACAGCTAATCGATCTATATAATATCATTCGCCTCTATAATGAGTATTCTGCAGTCAATCAGGCCCGACAGCCACAGGCTTACTCAACTTTTTTATATTTCAAGACCGTCTTAGCGATTAATTTCACATTGAATGGTGCTGGAAGGAGTTGAGGGTGGGCATAGCTGCGGCTACCCTCTAATTGCCAATGTAATATTCCCACCCACTCCCAAGTGTGCCGCCTCTCGAGGCCCGTTTGATTCGTGCAATTGAATGCGTCGCCTTTGTTTTCTCAATGCGAAATTAAAATTCCAATTTGAACGGCGCGCATCTGCTTAGATCACTGCGAGAGCACTATCTATACGGTACACATATAGGCACATAAATATATATATATACATGTATATTATTCTGCCTATATCTGTACAGCTACAGTTAACAATCTAAACTGCCCCCGCGAGCCCATCCCATCCCCCGCCCACAGCAGCTACAAATCGCGTTTATTTGTTTTAAAATAGCCATTGAAATCGCGTTATTATACTCCTTATATATACCCTTGCCTTGTGGGTATTATGATATGTATAAGGCATTGCGACAGACAACTTTGAAATCGAAAAGTGGACATATACACGCACATACATATGTGCATATATATGCCTGATAAGACGCGAGTGTGTTCGTTCTATCGCAACGAGACAGTGCTTCAGCGTTTCTTATGGACACTTGCCATGGATTAAAAATATAAAAAAGACAGTTGAATCGTTTAAAGAGATTATATAAAGTTTATGAAGTAATAAAAATTAAATTAAATCAATTTCAAATCAGAATTTTATTATTTGTTGATGATTATTTTTATTTATGATTAGAAATAACTAAGAGCTTTGCTGACTGCATTTTCCGATTTGCCACGCCCCCCATACACCATACCTCATTCAATTTGAGCTGTATAAATTTCAAGCTTCTAGTCTTTATCATCAATAGAAAAAAGAAATTTTTGAAATAACTATATATGTATATAGGATATATATTCGATCGATAATATTTTTAGAATCCAAATTTGCCTCTGGCTTCAATAGTTGGTGAACCAATATACTCATTTCACTTTCGCGAATGAGTATAAATAGTTTTTATTAAAATTCCGATCATATTAATAAATGTTTCGACAAAGTATTAAACAGTTATGTAAATATCTCCATTATTTGCTAGTTTCAAAGCAGATATAAATCCATATTCGCGTTGATATTTAGTGGTATTTAAATGGTAAGGTGGTAAAGAAAAAACTATCACAGCTGTATAAATATATATGTATAAATATTATATGTATAACTGCCTAATCTACAATGAAAATTCCATTATTAAATCTATAAAATTCATGTTTAAAATATGTTAAGCGATTTTTGAAGAAACCTATTTTGCTTTAACAAAATATATATGATTTATAATATATGAGTAAGACTATTAAACTCTGCCAAAACTTAAGCTTTAAATTTATGTTTATATTCTAAAATCATTTTAAAATAAAATCCTGTGCTATGTGAAAGAGTATATATTCATATAGATATAAATATCTAGATGCACATATATACATATTTATACACTTGTTCATATTTCATCGTTATAAATACAATTTAATTCGTGCCATTTCCCATTTGTTTTTACTATGCCTTAGCTGATTTATTAATTTATTTATGTTTTCATTCGACGTACGTGACATTTACTAATTTTTGCTTAATTTTACGCAAAAAATTTCGCATGCGAAAAATTTGTTCTTCGTGCCGAAATATACATATATATGTACTTTAGTATAGATCTAATATTTATGCTGCCAGCTGCCACAGATTTCATATAGTACTAAACAGAACTGACCAAAAAAAAAAAAAAACAAAAACCCCAATAAAAAAGAGCTCCAATCATAATTTAATTGATTTGTTATGGAGGCACGCAGATTGCCACAGCTCCAAAAACAAAGACAGATCTGACTCTCTCTCTCTCTCTCTCTCTCTCTTTCTCTCGCTCTTTCGATCATTGAACTCAGCTCTGCAATTTTTTAGAGATTACGCAACACTATTAGATATGAGCTTCGAGCATTTCTAGTTAATTGATAAACACGCAAGTGCCAAGCGTTTTCTTAGCGTTTCTGACGCGTTTTTAAACGCCCAGCGCTAAATAATCGCTGCTTAATTTGCAAGTGTCTGTCAAATCTGACAGTTGGTTAACAAAATTTGTTGTTGGCACAAAAATAAGCTACTATGTGAAACTAATAGCAATGCAAGATTTGAGTGAGTAAGAGAAAACTCATATAAAAATTGGATACATCTTAGAAAAAAAAAATAAAGTGCCCCATATAAATACAATAAAAAATCTTAGAAAAATAACTAGAATAGTAGAAAAAATCTGGATAAAAAAAATTATAATGATAAGTGAATGAAAAAATTATTTACTTAGCACATTTAAAGCTTGTTTTAGATATAATAATATTTTTTTTAATATTTGTAAAAATCTGCAAAAATATTTTTGAACTAAATTTAAGAAATAAATGAAAATTGTGTTGTCTATAATTTGATCAAGAAAATTAAGTAATTAATTAATGATATATAAAAAGCCATGTTTCTAGATATTTTGATTTTTTATTTAAGTGTCCCAGTGAGCTTTTCTCTCAGTGTACTAATTAGCGAAAATATGCAAACTGTTGTGTGTATCAACAGAGATTTTAAAGCGGTCAATTAGCATAAGATGAAAATCGAATGTAAGCACTTGATAGGAATATATATATACCGGAATTATATAATTAAATATGCHGCACAACAGCTCTACAGCCGGAATGAAATCAAGGAAATTTATATAATAATAAAATGAAATTAAATAAAATAAAATATGTCTAGACTTGGGAATTGAGATTTCATTGATCTGCATCTAGTTAGTATGCAAGAGACATGGGCGAACCCTTTAGGATACATATATACTATATATGTTTATACGCACACACATGTACATACATACACATCCAATTGTAATCAAGTTTGGGAGACATGTCTGTGCCGCATTTGAAATTAGACAGAGAGCTGTGAGCATAAATGTCAGACGATTCCCCAATGAGGCGCTTGATCTTCGCTCTGTGGGCAAGAAGACATTTTAATTTATCACTTCTCCCCCTATATATATATACATATTGATCGTCTCACTGTCTGTCTCTCGCTCCCTCTCACTCGCTCATTCTTTATTTAAAGTGCTGACCTTAAGGGTATAGTTAGCCATTGATATGTGGATGTGGGCCGGGGAAGCGCTGAGGTTGTGGGCAGGGTCACAAACAAAAATTTCCACACACAAATTTTATTTTGACTATTGGAATTTTGTAAGAGTTTTCGTGTATTTTTCTGAATTCCGTAATCCGAAAAAAAAAAAAAATATTTGGCAAAAAACAAAAGGCGAGCGTGTCGTAAAAACTTAAAAATAAATAAAAATACTTAGCAGAAAGCGAATGTTTGTGTTTTATGTAGCAAATTTAAATTGAAAACATTTTCAAATCAAATACATATTAAGTAATACCCATTAAAATAAAACGACTCGAAAGCAGAGCTAAATTTGACATCAAACGCTATTTTCAGAGCACAAAAGCGGGAAAAGCGGGAAAACTGTTTGTTTTTCTATTTCCATTTCTCTTTCTCTATCTCGTTCTCTATCCGTTGGTTAAGGTTAAGTGCAGATACTGCCACTAAACGTCTAATGCCAAAAATCTATTTGGCAACGGGGCCAAAAATAATTATATCTAGACTCTAAGAGTCCATAAGCAAAGAATTTTTTTTTTTTAGTTTTTTTTTTTGTTTTTTCTTGACAAATTTTGCAAAATTTATTCAATTTTATTTTAGTTCAAATGAAAAATGAAAACTAACAAATGTGAAAACTATGGAAACTGTTCACAGCTTATGTGAGGGTGTGAAATGAAGTGCAGTAAGGGAAATAAGGGAAAACCGGTTTTCCCAAGTCGTTTTCGAAAACCAATTTTCATGTTGGCCTAAAAGTCGAGCTGCGATCAGGTAGCCAAACACTTGAAGCGTCAACAGCAAACAACAAAACACAAAACAAATAGCTAAGGCATATACACAAACACACACATACATACATACAGCCATCTATTCCCATACACCTTCACACACACTATCAAAGCAAGCAAATGTGCTGTGCGACATTCTTGCGTACAGTTTGTTTTGATACCCTATGTAAATGTCTTCCAGCAGGGCATATCAGTTCAGTTCCTAAGTGTTATGGGCAGGGATTAGCCTATAGATGAGTGCATCTGGCTTATATTATTTGTGTTTGATAAAGATCTAAATTGCTTGACAGCAACTGAAGCAAGCTGGACCCTTCTCAGTGTCTTCTATGTAAGTTCCTCTATTTACCCTACCTGGGCTTACTCTATATAAGAACTTGACTTCACTCAAGTTTCAGGCTCAGCTATTTAATTCTACATACATATTATTGTATTCTACAGCTCTTCATACTTCCTTTGCTGAACTTGTCAATGCCCTTTTCTTTTTCTTCTTCTACCTTCATCAAGACTCTTTCAGATCCAATTGAAGACTCGCCTTAGACCAGCTACAGCACATCGTCTCGTTGCTTAAGCCCTACGACAACATGGTTCGCTTGTCATCTATTTATCTTTGGCTTTTACCAGTTTGTCCAGAATTTAATGAGCCATAAGAAAGAAGCAGAAGAAGAAGAGGAAGCGCAAGTGGGAGACGAGCGTGTTTAATTAGCTCCAAGCGGTCTATTATAATATCTGGATCTTATTTTCTTTTTTGGGGCTGTGGGAAGTCGCGTGCTGCACTGCCACGGGGCAAGTCATAAATCTGTATACCTGGCGTGGGCATGTCGTGTGGGCATGTGGGTATGTGGGCGTGGCATGACCACTGTTTATCCTAGGCCCGAGCGATTTGTTTAGCTTATCTCAGGCCGTGTACAACGCGACAACGAGAACGACAAAAACTTTTTAATTGTTCCACATTATATCATGCACAAGCATTGTATTCGTTTCGCTATTCTATGTCATTTCATTCTCTCTKTTTTTGGGGAATTTGTTAATTCATTTGAGTGCCAGTTAATTATTTTGATTGCGCGCGTTTTAGAACGCGTGCAAAAAACAAAAACGCGTGCGATTTGCATGCGATTAAAGAAGGAGAAAGAGAGAGGGAGAGAGAGCAAACTGAGTCAGCGAGGGGTTTGAGGCGTGGAAGGGGGAGATGGGGGCTATGTATTACCACTAACAGCAGCCAACTGTTTGACCAAGCCCGGCAATTTCGACTGCCTAGAGGAGAGTTCAGTAAACCTAGGTTAACAGCCGAAAGACGAAACTTTCCAGCGGAAATCGCTTAAGAGACAATAGAGTTGAGAAATCTGCAAGAATAAGACGAAGATGCCATACGTAATTATATTTGCGAATCAGTCTAGAACAAAGGCTTAAGTTATTACCTGAAGTAAGTTCTATATATATGGAAATATAAGGTCAACTGTAATGATATTAGCGAAACTAAAAAAATTAAAATTCAATATTATAATCAAGATTTATATTACTTAGTAAAGTCTTGAGTCTTTAAATTAGGAAATAATAAGGAAAGTTTTCTACGTACAACAATTAAATTTGCCACATTTGCTAAATTGTCACATTACACTTGAATAAATAATAAGAACTGGCACAACTTTCCCTAACTTAACATGAAATATTATTGTGGCTATTAAGCTTGGAGACAGAAAATCACAAGCTAACAAACAGTTAGACATGGCAGCAACAACTCGAGCTCTCTTACATATATAATTACAAAAAACTCTGAAAAGTACCAAATATTTCACATATTTTACGACTTAGTTAAAATACCTTCGACTAGGGTAAAAAATCACACGCTGCGTGGCTGAAGAAGCCGATGAAACCCAAGCTGAAGAAGCAGCAGAGGAAAAACACAAAAAACCAAAACAAAATGTTACCAAAGACTTGATTTATGTCGTTCCCCCGCCCCGCCTTCTAAATCAAATTTCAGCGATTTTTCATTCATATGCAAAAAGGTGGCTCACAAGAAAATTAGCCGGGAATTCGGTTGAGCATTTTGTTGAGCTCATCAAAAAGTCGAGACAAAAATTACAATGTTGTTTTCATTGTTGTTGTAGTTGTAGTTGTTGTTGTTGTTAGTCAAATCAAATGTCGTGTCGATGCGAGAGTCTAAGGCGTATCAAGTCATTTATATAACTAATATTAGACGATTATTAATATTGGACGACAAACAGGTTTTCTCGCACATAAACAAATGGTATTTGAATTCTTGTTCTCTGTATTTGTTGTGTTTAATAATCAGTGAGGCACTTGTGCACTTGCTATTTATATTTGGTTTTATTAATGAATAAATTTTTAAAATGCAACGTTAAAAACAGACCTATATATACGTAAATATTTGAAATACACTCAGAGGCAGCGCGTAATTAATTTCTCAACCGTTTCACACAAAGCGGGTAAACAGCCAAACGGGCAGCGTAAAGTAACGCAACTCAACCGCACACGAACGCGTCTCAAATGAAACTGAAACGAAAGAGCGTAAAGCACGAGCGTTTATAGCAAAACGACGCGTGAGAGCGCAACTCTGCTAGCAGCAGAGCTCGTAGCAGAACAGTTGAATGGTAAGAGCAGAGCAAGAGCAAACACGAACACAAATATCATTATGAGAACGGCCACCAAAGCTGCAGCGGCAGGAGCAGCAATGCACATCAAGCATCAACGAGCGCAGCAGCAGCCGCCGACAGTGGGCAGCGACGCAGGGCAGAACTGAGCACGAACATAGTAAAATAGGCACTAGAGCAGCAAAGAGAACGCAAGCAGAGAGAGAGCAATTGCAGGTAATCCTTGCTCAGCAAAATCATAAAATTTAGAATAGAAAAATATGCAAAAATTGTGTATTTTTTATAGTTGATCAGTACGCAGAGGTATTAGTAGTGCTTTTTGGTATTTCTGCTAATCACAGAGATTATGTTTGGTAACAGTTATTTGATTTGTTGGCTCTTGAGTGTAAAGGTGTGTTGAGTGTTTTTGCTGTCGCAGTTGCTGATATCGTCAAATTTCTCTATAAATTGACTTAATCGAGGCACTTGAGGTGCGCCTGCGTCACATGTACATATATGCAGATAAGAAATCCGTTATTCCTTAGATAAATGCTTCGTCTGGTAATTCATTTTTCTCGTCCAATTGAAGGAACTGATGAAGTGCGGATCGAATGCTCCAATTGGCCTCCTCTTGCAGGATACGGGTGCACCACTTGGGGCGCAGTCCGGTTATTTCCTGAAAGATGTGCAGCTTATGCTCCTTAACATCCAGAGAGTCATCAGGCTCTGGCTCCACCTCGGGCGGCTTGACAACCTTGAAGGCATCTCGCAGCTGCTTTGGCGTCGGATTCATAATGTTGAGACGTTCGTTGGCAATAATCATGCGCTGAGCTCCTTCGCCAACGCCCTGTAAAGGAGCAGAAGTTGAGAAGCGCTTGGAGTAACTATTCCAATCACACTTACCCGCCCAGTGTCCCGCACTCGGAGCACGAACTGCCTGCTAAAGGCGAGCAACAAGTCCGGCTCATCGCGCAGCACGCCAGTCACATAGATCATGGCGCCTTGTTCATCGTGGTGCATCACATCCGTTTGCAGCGAGATGTAGTCATGCGTCACCTCTGGCAGCTGCATCAGAGCCTGCATTACATCATGTTCGCCCACATGCACGCGACACGTGTCCATCGAATTCTTGAGCAGATTCCTGCTGAAGTAATTGTATTTGTTGATGCGCTTGCACAGCTCATTCGTCGGCTTGGTGGGATGGGCACGGCGGATGTCAAAGCTGCAGGTCAGCGTGAAAATGGACTCGTCAGTGTAGAAGCGGTTTAGGGTAAGGCGCGTATCCGTTTGCTCAAAATCCTGCAGGTAGGGATATAAGAACAGTTCGCCCGCTAGCTCATAGCCACTCGTGTCGCAGAGGAAATCCTTCTGGGGTGTCAAGCCCGGCTTTGTGCTCAAGTCCACATCGTCCAGTCGCAAGAGACCAGGACATACCTTCTTCACATCCCGAATATACTCACTGGGCAAGACGTATTTTTGGCACAAAGGATTGCCGTGCAATCGCAAGGACCTCAATGGGATCTCGTTCAGCGCAGTTAGCATCGACAGATCATAGATCCAATTCTTACCAAGATCCAAAGCCAGCAGGCCATTCAGCAACGATAATGTGCGCAAATTGAGGCCCAAAATCTTATTGTCGCCCAACCGCAATTCAATGCAGTTGCCTAGGAATTTGCGCGATGCCATCCGCAGGACGCTGCTTAGGATGCGCGGCGAGCTTAAGCTAACGATGACATTCTCCAATTGTTCTGAGCTTTGAAAGTCCTCCAGATTCAGGACACGATTGGTGGCATTGAAGCGGTGCTGCAAAGCCTGCTCAATGCATTTCTTCGGCTGCAAATGTCCTTGCTTCATGGCGGTCACATTCATGCGCAGAAAATAGGGTATGGAGTTCCGATAAGTGAGCTCCTGCTCATCTGGCGTGATTTGAGGAATCTTTATTTGAAGATTGCAATCGTTGACCAGGTGCTCAATTTGATCGAAGCACTCACGCACCAGAAATCGATGCTGGGCAGATTCAAACTGAAACAAATGGAAAGCAACGTAAGTAATGATAATCAAAAAGAGTTGGGTTATATTTCGGATCCTGAAACATCCTTGACAGCCCCTCTAGCTCACCTTGTAGTAACATGGATAAAATTCACTCAATTCAGGCGAAACCATTACAAAGAAAAAGTTAAATAGGTCCTCCTTGTTGAACTTATGATCCGCATCGGGAATCTATAATAATAGGGTTTGTTATAATTGTGTTCTCTGGCATTCCTCACATATATACTCTACCAGAAAGGCATGCCAATGCTTGCTATCCTTGAACTTTGATAGCATTGACTTGTTGGTCCAATCGATGCGCACCCCGTCGCACTCCATGTCAATCTCATAGTTGAGCGGCGTGTATAGCTTGTGGAGCTTATCAAAGGGTACGCCATCCTAAAAGTACAGAGTAATAGAATATTTTATAATACTCGATGATGATCTATTAGTTTCGTCTTACCACAAATTGAAAATTGTTAATCAAAGGGCTTAAGCAATCGGGAAACTTATTGGCCTTTGTTAAAGGATTGTTTGCCAAATAGAGGTGTTTTGCTCTCACACGTTCTAGATCGCTGCAGAGGCGCTTAGAGGATTGGATCTGCAATTGAGAAACATTAGTTCAAGTCTTTTTATATATACATATATCTATGTTTATCTAACTACTCACCGAATTTCCTGTTATATCCAATAATTCATAGTCAAAATCGCCAAAGATTCGCATGGGTGAAATATCGGTGAGATCATTTTGGGATAAATTGAATCCCTTTATGGCACGACGACGATCGTCGTTGTTGTGTATGGTCGAGCAGACCAGATGAAAGGTGAATGAATTTTTCAATCTGACCTCAAAGTATTTGAACGCTGGATGATTGTTAAACTTGCTAAGGTTCACAACGTTCTCCACGCCACGATGGTTCTCCAGACGATTTAAGAGGCGATCGGTTACCTGCAGATATAGAGAATTGCAGAAATCATGCAATTGTGAACCACTATACTTATACTTTACCTGGGATATGATTAGTGTAGGTGAAATGTGACTCCTCTGATGCTCAGCCACATTGAACCACGCGGCCATGGGGATAGAGGCACCGGAAATGAGGCGAAGGGTTAAGCTGCGCTTGAATAACAGATCCAATGCCGGCTTACAGGCGCGTACAAAAAAGGAGTCCACCAATTGGCCCGTCTGCAGTCAGCGAAAGCAAATTAGTAAATCAGCAAAATAATAGAGATCCAACATACTTTATAGTTAACTGGATAGAACGGTTCATTCTCCACCGTCTCGTAAATAGCATTCAATATCAGCTCCTTGGGATTCGTTGTAAAATTGAGTATACCCTCGTGATGGACGCAAATTTCAACCCAGTTCAAGCCGGGGCCACTGTCGTAGTGCCGGGTCTTATAAAACCTGCGCGCATCTCTGTACTGCACCGCAATGGGCTGGTACTCGAGGCCACAGTTTATCAGACGATCGCGTGCTGTAAGGATCCATTGATTTTATATTTACTATGTTAATTAAAAAAACAAATTTATAATTTATAATTCTTACGCTTCCATTGACTTTCGTCCATTTTGGTTGATTGACAGCCAACGATAGCTTAAAATATCGGGTGTCCTAAGTAATCGACAAGTCAATCAAGCTGTAAATTCTTGCCTGCACGTGGTACAAATGTGAAATAATCGCTGATATTTGTACCAATGTTACGTTGATATTTTTGGTTCCATCAACAATATCCAACATTAAAATAGAAAAATACACATTTTCGTAATTTTTACGCTTATATATGGAATATTTGCTCCAATTTTATGCATTTGGTACATTTCTATGGTACAAGATAATTTTGTAAGGTGGCAACCACGGTCGCGTGCAAGCTGAAATCACTGCTGAAATCAAAGGCGATGTAGGATCGATAAATCTAAGCTGCTGTTCAGCTTGAAAGTAAAAAACTATGATTTAATTAATACTTATTGTATTGTTATTATTTAAATCTTATTGCCTACAACAGAGTCTTTCAGATTACATATGAAATTACTTCTTGGGCGACTTCTTCTTCGCCTTGCTCTCCTTTCTGCCCTGATAGAGGCCTGTATAGTAGCCAGACATGTACCAAGCCGTCAACATAGCGACAAAGTCCTGTTCCGGCTCACTATCCATGCCGCCAGTGGGCGAGAACATGGGCGGAACAAGTGGCATTGGTGGCATCACCAACCCAGGTCCACCCAATCGTCCACTCGATGAGCCCTTGCTTTTCGAGCTAGACTTCTTGGAAGCCTTGGCACGCTGCTCTGGCTGCGCTTCCTCGGTCTCAGCGCGTTTAGAATAGAGTATTTGTTCGCGACGCGCCTTGTTGCCCCAACTGGGCAATAGATCAGCCAGGAGCACCTCCTGTTCGTTTTCATAGCCAACATAGCGTAGCACGCAGGTGCCCGCAATCTCATTGATGGATATCACTGTGCCCTCGTAGTCCAATCCATCGGTATATGTGGCACGTGCAAAATCACCAACTTTGAAAACTAGCTCCTGCTCTTCGGCCTCTTCCTGCGGTTCCAAATCGACATCTGAAGTTGAAGCTGCTTCTTTTTTTTCGGGTCTATTTTCCTCATGCGTGTTGGTTGAGTCGGCAATGCGACGAGCGAGCGTTTCACGTGCCAAATTTATGGAGTCATCGTAGGCCTTTATTAATAGGCTATCCTCCCAAATAAGTTGTTCGTCAGACATTTGCAATTTAATTTTTGTGCGGAGATTCAATTGAATATGTGACAATTCGAAACGCGAAATGACATTAACTTAATCGATATATCGTGGTACATATCGATGATAACAGAGTTGCCATAGCATTAACATTGTACTCTCTGTGAATAGCAACAGAGAAAGAGGCAGAGCAAAAGCGAAAATCATTCTCAGCTCACAATTTTGTGTTTTGTTGCGAATATTAATTTCAAATAATAAAGAATAATGGCTGCAGTGGAAACGTTGTACAAGGAACTCTGTGCTGAATGGTCCAAGCGACCACCAAATACACAGCGATGCGGGCAGCTGCTGGATCAGCTCAAAGTGGCGTTGGTCAAAATGCAATTTCTGCCCACAGACGGCAAAGATGCACAGAACTCGAAGAAGCAACTTTTGTTGGCACGCGCCGTGTTGGAAATCGCTGTGGAGCATAGTGTACTGACCAAGGATTTACTCGCCTTCGAAAGGTACATGTCACAGTTGAAATGCTACTATTACGACTATGCCAAGATAATTGGCGAATCGGACAGTAAATACAAATTGTTGGGCCTCAATCTTCTCTATCTGTTGTCCGGCAATCGTGTTTCCGACTTCCATACCGAACTGGAGCTCCTGTCGGTTGACATAATACAGCACAATCAGTACATACGTCCTATTCTGGCACTGGAACAATATATCATGGAAGGACGCTACAATAAGATCTTCCAGGCGAAATCCTCAATGCCTGCCGAGATCTACAATTATTTCATGGATTTATTGGTCGAGACGGTGCGGGATGAAATCGGCGCCTGCATTGAGATGTCCTACGAGAAGATTTCGGCTAAAGATGCTGCAAAACGACTCAATCTGCGTGTGCCGGATGAAATCAAAGCGTTCGGCGAGAAACGTCAATGGAAATTGGAAAGCAATGGAAATTACAGTTTTACCGATCGCAGCATTAAGCCCAAGGAGCTGCTGCCCTCGGTGGAGCTGGCTGAGCAGGTGCTTAGCTATGCCCGCGACTTGGAAATGATAGTTTAAGCTACCAGCAAATTTTGTAATAAAAATAAAAACCCTAAATAATACGTTTAGTAAAAAATGTTTATTTGACACAAAAGTATGACCATATAACATTGCCCATAAACAAATCGATGATTTCTAGAAAAATCATCGTTAGAATATATAAATTGAAAAATCGATAGCTCATTGCTGCCGCACATCACTAACTTGTGGGAACGAACGGGTGGAAAAAAATAGTCGCTCGCTCGCTGCGATTTATTGTTATTAAAATTTGTTAAATAAGTCAAAAAGAAAACAAAATCAATGGCCTGCAACGCTAGCAAGACGCATCTGTTGCGCTCAATTGCCGTAAGTTCTATGCATTATGTGAGCTGTTGCACTTAACCAACAAATCTCGATTGATGCAAAAAAAATTTTTGCGTTCCGTGTTACGTAAAACGAAAAGTTTGTAATTTTTGGTTGTTTATGTTAGAAACGCGGTTATGCGACCTGCCCACGCCTCGTCGGCGACACCTCGCCCATCGCCGTCAACGTGCTGGATAACAAGCTGGTGGTGGCCACAGCTGATGCCTCGGTGCCCGTTTCTCGTGTCTCCATCGTGCTGCGGTGAGTGCCACGCCTACCAAAAAGAGGCTGCCGTTGTTATGATTGATAATGTAATTCGCAGTGCCGGCTCACGTTATGAAGCGTACGACACACAGGGCGCTTCGCATTTGCTCCGTCTGGCTGGCACCTTGAGCACCGAGAGATCGACGGCCTTTGCCATTGCACGAAACATCCAACAGGTCGGCGGCAGCCTGACCGCTTGGGGCGATCGCGAATTCGTTGGCTACACCGTTGAGACGACCGCAGATAATGTGGAGACCGGTCTGCGTTATCTGCAGGATCTCCTGCAGCCCGCTTTCAAGCCCTGGGAACTTAAGGATAACGCCAAGACCTTGTACAATCAGTTGGATTCGGTGTCCAAAGAGGTATTTATATAAATACATGCTGTACATGGGATTCTATAGTATTCTTCAATAACTCTTCACTTGTAGGAGCGCGCCATTGAGCTGGCACACAAGGCCGCCTTCCGCACCGGTCTGGGCAACTCCATTTACATCCCACGTTTCCAGCTGGGCAATATCTCAAGCGAGAGCTTGCTCCACTTCGTTGGCAGCACCTTCAATCCCAGCACTGCTGCCGTTGTGGGCGTCGGCGTGGACAACAATCTGCTCTCTGGCTTTGCCCAGAATCTGATTTTCCCTAGCGGCGGCGGCTCCGTCAAGAGCAACAATAGCTACTACGGTGGAGATGCACGCAAGGACACAGCTGGAGATCGCGCTGTGGTCGCCGTTGTTGGCGAAGGTGGCGTTGCTAGCAACCAAAACGAGGCTTTGGCATTCGCCATTTTGAGGCAGGCTGTTGGCGGCGGTGCTGCCACCAAGCGTGGCAAGTCCGCCGGCGCCTTCGGCGAGGCCGTCAGCTGCGCAGGTGATGCACCCGTGTCATACCAAGCCATCAACAAATCCTATACAGACGCCGGAGTCTTCGGCTTTGTCGCTTCCGCCGGCAGCAAAGATATTGGCAAGGCAGTTGATTTCCTGGTGCGCGCCCTGAAATCTGGCTCTGTGTCCGATAAGGATGTAGCTCGTGGCAAGGCAGTGCTGAAGGCACGTGCCCTGTCCAACTACTCGTCCGACGGTGAATTGAGCAAGCAAATCGCTCGCCAGGCGGCCATCACCCGAACTGTGCTGGAAGCCGATGCTTTGGTGGCTGCCATCGATGCCGTCTCAGTGCAACAGGTGCAGGCGGCGGCCAAGAAGGTTGCGGGCTCCAAGCTCTCGGTCGGTGCCATCGGCAATCTAGCCAATGTGCCCTACGCTTCCGACTTGGCTTAAGTAGTTAATCTTGTAAACAAAAAAAAAATGTAATTTAAATACCCTGCCTGGAGACATAACGAAATAAAACTGTTGTCATTCACGATATCGAAATTAGAGAATGTTTTATGTGTGGTATATAATATATATGTGTCCTTTATCATCTAGCTTAGCTAGATCAGATATTGGACTGTTATTTGGATTATTTCGTTCTTTCTTTTTTATCTATTAATTAAACAATTCTTCATAAAACAAAGTTTTTTATTTATAAACAAGATTTTAAAATTGAAACTCGACATTTGCCGAATTCGAAAATGCCCTTGCGGCAGCTATAGAAATTTATGATATAGGGGTTGCAGTTAAGATTCAGATATTTGATAGATAGCAAACTGCATATAAGAATATGTTTTGTATATATGATAGATACTTGATATATATATATAATGCTATATCTGATAGATCAAGTATGATTTAGCTGATATATAATTGGGAAAATATATATAGAGTGCAAATATTATACACATTTTAATTTATTATATATTTTTCCATATATTATAATAAAAGTTTATTATGAAATATTTTCGAAAATCGAGAAAATTCAATTTTCAACTGATAATTTCTATATACAGCATATATAATATTGATATATATTTTATTTAATGTATTTTAGGCACTTGATGTAACTTTTTGGTGAGAGAATAAGTAAAATGTTCAAGTTAAAAAATATGTATAAAGTAAAATCATTCTATATATTTAAATATGATGTCGATAGAGATCGATTTAGATTATCGTTGTAGAACTTGACTGACTTTGGTGAGAATTACATTGCGACTCTAAACAACAGACAGACGAAGACTATATATACTTGAATGTTGTTACAGATCAGCCATATAGATAAATATATACATATCAGTATACAACAACAATTGACATAAATGAAATATATATACATATACATAGGAAATATATATATATAAAGTATACACATATGCATACATTCAACAAAAATCTTAGCAAATGCTTTACAGGCATACACAATGGGTTATAGATATATCTTGCATATATACAAATATAAACACATATATATGTATGTGCTATATATACCGATATATCTAGCTCCTATTCGCAACATAGTTGTAACCTGTCCCTCAGACAAGCACCACAATAAGAATGGCCACAAAGAGCAGTACTATGACCAGCCAATAGCCCCAGGTGCTATCCTTTCTGGTCACCTGGCCAATGGTGCGCGTTTCACGCTGCACGCCCGCTTCCACGCGATCCATTGTGTTGGCCAGATTGTCCAGTATATTATGCTGATCGTCCACCTCTTCGTAGACCTGGGTGGCCAGCTGGCGCTGTCGCGAAAGGGTCGCCGACAGCGCCTCCAGTCCCCGATCCTGTTCCTCGAGTATCGCGGCCTGGGTTAATTTTAAGCTGACAATATCTGAGGGCGGAGCAGCAGCAGCGGCTGTTGTGCCCATTTGCTGCCAGACTGAGGTGGAGCTGGTTGAGGGGCGTGCGCTGTTGCTGTTGATCGTGGCATCTATGCTGCGTAAGTCTGAGTTGAGCTTGTCGAAGTTTATGCGACGCTGCTGCAGCTCATGCTCTGAACAGGACTCCCAAGTGATGGCATTATCCAGAACGACCTTGAGATGTTTCACATCTTTGGCCAGCTGCTCACGGCTCACATCAATGCTGTTCGTTAGCTTTGCATATTCCGGAGAGGCGACGGCGCCGCCCAGCTGCCTCCGCTTGTGCAGCAGACCAAGCAGCTGATGTCGCAGACGTTCGCAGCCCTCAAACTCGATGTCCCTGCAAACGTTGGCGATAAACATATATATATATATAAATTAGTATTAGTACTTCTCACGCATACCATGAGTCATGATCTACAAGCGACATATTTTTTCAAATCTTTATCGCAGCCAATTAAAGCATTTGTAAGCGTTCTCTTCAATTTTCGCCAATTGCGTTGTTTTCTTTCTTCTTCTACTTCGTCTGGTATTGCAGTGACTCGCAATCAGCTGTTCGGTTAACAGCGCTGCGGTTTCTTAACATTCCGTATTTTTAGGCAGTTTTATAACATATATTTCAAAATATGTATAAAAAAGCATTTTATGACAAAATAAATTATTTTTTACATACAATTTATTTATACAACTCATGAATTTGAAATAAAACAATCAACGCATTTAACAGTTGCATAACTGCTCTCAATGCAACAGCGATGGCCGTTTGGCTAGATTCCCGCTAACTAAATGGCCAGTTATATGGCAAAATATTTATGTATTTTTTTGGTTAAAAAAGTCCTTGATAGCTTTTAACTTATAACTATTGAGTTTAGACTTTTTGTATAATTTAATAAATATACAAATTAGTTATATGAAGCTAACTCTCTGTCAAAAGTAGGTACCAAAATAGTAGCAGCACTAAAGAGCATGCTAACAGAGAACACAACAGAATTTGCAAGCAACAGCTGTCAGCTGTTTGCCCGCTTTTATTTAACAGAATAATACAGGCGGGATTTGGCTGCAATTATGTATGGTACCCACTACAGATAAACATGTAAAAGTACAATTTAAAATAAATTTAAATAACTTGTAATATATATACAAGATTTACACTATTTTTCTCTACATTTAATTGCACATACTGTAAACAGCATATCGTCTGCTAATCTCTCTAACAGCAAACACTACCATCTGTTACTGTTGACCACAATTTCCAACACTCACGCACACTGCTGTACAACCCAACACTAGCAACCAAATCATTATTTACGTTAAAAATAATTCCGTGCTGTGCCGTGTCGTGTGTGTGGCTGCGTATTCGATTCCTTGCCACAATTTTGAATKGAAAATCACCGTTACACTCAACTGAAATAATCCCGTTGGCCAGTTAAAGTAATTGGTAAAATTCAGATCAATTAAAATCAACCAAATAATTTGTTACGTCACATGAAAATTTCGGCGTGGAAAAGTATTTGGCTGTGTGCGTTGATAACTGTAACTTTTCTGTAGGCGACGCGCGGTGCACGAGCTGCAAGTAAAAGACATACACACACACAGATACTGGTGCATTGCCTGTGTGTATGGTATATGAAATATGAATTTTGAAGCGCATTCAGGATAGTGTTAGGTGCTTTGTTATTATTATTATTGTTGTTGTTGGAGGACATACAGTAGTCGGTGCTTAGAATTTCATTTGGGTGTGGGATACTTTTGTTATTTTTAAGGAAGTCTCATATTCACTTGTAATTGTGATTCGTAGGAAGTAAGATCTCTAGTAGTATAAAAATAAAAATAAAATAGTGTAATTTCAACTTCAAATCGGAACGCAACATAAGACAAAACAACAACAACAACATACTCGAAAACCACCAATTAACATCGTCATTAACAGMAGCAGCAACAACTACTAATACTACTACTATTACAAAAACAACTACAAAAGTTAACCGTTAACCGTCGCGCATCCGTCAACCTTCAAAATTGTTTTCTTCTTACGCATTGAGTAATAAAAGAAGTAAAAACCCAAAAGGAAAGGAAGAACTACGTACCTAACTAACGTATCTAAAACGCGTCCTCCTTCTGGCATTGTGTTTGTGTGCGTGCGAATGCAACGACAACAAGAATCTCTCTTCAAGCAACAAGACGTAACGTAGAGCTGCGTTCGGTAAGTGTGGGTTAAGCGAGGGGAAAAGCAACATTCATTTTGCTTTTTTATTATTCTATTTTTTTTTTTTTTTTTTTTTTTTTTTTTTTTTTTTTTTTTTTTTGTTTGTTTTGGGAATAAATGCAATTGGTTGTTTAGCGAAAATTCTATGCATGCAACTCGTTTTTCCAGCACGCACCTCGTATGTCTGCTTCAGCGTATGTATGTGTGTGTGTATGTGCATACAGCGGAAAACGTGTATTTGTATGAAAAACCAGAAAATCGAAACCGGGAATTGGGTCAGTATGTCAAACGCGAGAAAGGGGAGAGAGGGAGAGTGGGAAAGGTTCTTTGCCTTGGCTCTACAACTCTGCTGGCTAAAACGGGTATTAGTCAACACTTGACGTTATACCATCTAACAGCATCCGACTCTGCATCTGTGTGTGCGTGTGTGTCTGTGTGTTGCTGTCTGATTGTCATTCGCGCGTGGTTTTTCTTATGCTTGACATTTGGTTGCGCTCACTCGCGCTCGTTCTGCTTTGCTCTATTCTCTCTTTCGTTAACTCGCTCGTTTTTTCGGCCAGTCGGCTCAGTTGATCTTGCATTGCTGCGGCGCGTCGACGTCGACTGAAGCTGCGACGCATTTACCTTGAGCGCGCCTGCACTTGTCACGTCTCTCTCGCTCTCCCTCACTCACTCATTCACTCTCGCTCGTTTGCTTGCTTGGTCGCTCTGTGCGCTACGTTTTCTTATTGGATTTCGTGAACTTCTAAACTGGGGGCAGCCAGCACCTTTCGAAACACTTAACTGGCCAGTTAGGCGCCCGGAGTCCGCTTTTCATGTTTGCTAATAAAATTATTACAATTTATCCGACTGTTGCTAATGCGTTTTAAGGTCGACACTGCCTAGACTCTGCTGCTGTTTGGCTGCTGACCCATTAAAACGTCTTTCACATGATACGCGCCGCTTACATTTCGCGGTCCATTTAACAGTGCTCGTCGCTAGAGAGGGATAGTGAACGACAAAGAGGGGCGAGGGAACGCGAGGCGTGGCCCGGTTGGGTTTCGTCTAGGTTAGGCTCGTCGCTGATTTGTGATTTATTCTTTTGAGCTGTTTTTTTACATTTACTTGTCGACTAAGCAAATTTACAAATTAAAGACTAGTCGACTATGATATGCTCTATACAGTAAAATATTTTCTTGTAATTCAATACAGTTTAAGTAATTAACTATATGCATAAATACACATATATTTATTTTTAATTTACCTTTAATGGTTTTTTATTTGCTTCCATTTTATTAATTATCTTAATTAATTATTATCTTAATTAAACACATTTCACTTATTTCCACTGTTACACATACACACGCACACTCATTTGTGCATATATATACGATACCCTTCTTACCCAATAATAAACAGCCAGGAAGAGTGAACAGGCTAGTGCCCGAAGACAGGCTGACAGAAAAGGGAGCTAGAGCAAGGGAGAGAGGCATATAACAACATACACACACACACACATATGCATGCAGGACAACGTTTGCTCTATTTAAGGTTGCTGGTTTACTAGTTCAACTAGGAACTGTTTCCTGTGTGTGTTTCGCCCACGCACATGGCAAAGCTCGCTCTCTCGAATGCTCTTCGGAGTCAGTCGGGCTGTGCGAAGAGAGCAAAAGAGAGCGTCGGTGCTGCCACTTTGGGGTTGGCTGATTTTTGCACTTAAGAGCGAAAAGTGGCTTTGATTTTTTTGTGATTACAAATGTTGGGAGTGAGAGCGGGATATGTGCGGCCAACATATTTGCATGTTGCTCTCCTGCTCTTGCAAGAAAGCATGCGGGATACAAGCAAAATGTTAACCTATATAATTTTTGTTGTTGCCAATGAAAGAGCGCCCCAGTCCGCCCACCCCCACGCAAACAGCGATGTCTACGCTCTGTCAGTTGAAGGTTCTTTTTATAATTTAAAAACTGTTTTTTTAAGGCTACGACGACGACGGCGACGAACAGCAGCAGCAGCAGCAGGAAGCTTTTGTTGCGCGCGCTGTCGTTGCTGCTTCTGCTRCTGCTGCTGTTGACGCTGCTTTTGAATTTAATGTTAAGTATACGCATCAGTGAACTCAATTTAATTATCATGATTGTTTTTCTCGCTGTGTATATGCTGAAACATTCAAATTTTCCAACTTCACACACACGCTCACACACACACACACCTCCATACGTCCATACCTCCATTCAGTTAGCTGCCGTTCCCAAGTAGATTTTCAGCTCTTATGTAATCGGCAGCTTTACAGAAAAAAAGTAAAACAAAATATAACTACGTAAAGTTGATAAAAGCGCTGGCCATAATTACGTGCATACGTCTGTGTGAGCACGCCCTTCGCCCAGTTTTTATCAGCGCCGTTATTTATGCGCCTCCGCCATGACAGATAGAACGACAGCAGCAGCAGCAGCAACAGCAGCAACAATAAGCATTTGAAGTGCAGCGTAGCGCAAAGAGAAAATAAAACTGGCATTTGTTGTTGTTGTTATTTTAGAAGCCAAAAGCCCAAACGAAAAGCAATTAAGTCGCCATGGCTCATTGCACAATAAGCAAAGAATCAAAAATAAAAAAAAAATAAAAAAAAAACCAACTAAATAATAAAAAAGCGAACGCACGCAGCAGCAGCACCGTCAAACATAACTGTGTTTGCTTGGCCAGCCATAGCGCGCACGTACGTCAACGTCGCAGCCAGCGTCAACAACTCTAATCGTATGAGACTAAAGAGAGAGTGAGCGAAAGAGTGTGGGCGCGCGAGTGGAAGCGACTAGAGAACGTTTGTTGTTGCTGTTGCTGCTGCTGCTTAATAAATAGGCCAAATATGTAATATCGCTAAAATGTGTTTATTGTAATCTTTTTCACACACAAGCACAGTCACACTAACACGCACATGCATGCTCTCGCACGTGCATTGCATCCCTCGTTACGTTAAGTTAAAAGAATAAAATAAAATAAGAAGAAAAGAGCGCCAAAAGGAAAGGGAGCGCAAGAGCACAAAAACGAATAGCAACGAGCATAACAGCCAATCCAGCCGAATGCCAGCCGAACGTAAAACGAACAACGCTGCTGGCGTCGCAGTCACTGTCGCTGCTGGCGCTGCCGCTGCTTTGTGGGGGCCCAGTTGGTCGATTGCTTTGCTGCGCTCGTGTGTTGGCTGAGTCGTTGTTCTACCGTCGTGATTGCAACACTTCTGCTTCTGCCACACACACTATCGCCGTCGTCATTTAGCCGTCGCCAAGTCTCGCAGTCGCAACGTTTTTCACGTTCTTTTGATTTTCAACTACAAAATCAACTACTACTACGCGTACGTCAACGTCGCA